GTGTATTGGGGCTCTAATTAAAAATGCATTCAACTTGGACAAACTAAGGCGACGAACAGCAGTTTTAGCAAATTAACATTAGAATTAATGGGTGCGGAGGAGGGGGGCAGGCAAGGCGGCAAAGGCAAACTGCTGCCACCCCTTTGCTGTTTTCCCAGATGCGGACGATTGCCTAACCAACGGGCCAGAAAGTGTATCTCATGTGGTGCGGAGCGCAAGTATCTGGCAGATGCGTGCGCGTGCCGGCAGCAATAGCAGCAATGGAAACCTCTGGGATCGCAGACAACCGAAAAAAAAAAACTGATTTATATTAACCCGAAAATAAAGGCAAGCAAGAAGAATCTCAAACAAAAATTGTAGCTCACTCGCTCGCTGCTGGCAAACGCACACGTTTGATGTTGTAGATACACTCGCAGCACATTCGAGTACCGCAGAAACGGCCAGCAAGTACGAGAGTATCTCGCCTTGCTTCTTTTTTTTTTTTTTGATTTCGTATCTGAGTATCTGGTTCCGCGCGACAGCAGAAGCAGAAGCAGAGGCAGAGGCTACGGCAACGCCACTCAGCACGTTCATTATGGCATTTTGTCAGATACAAATTTCAGTTCAGAGTCGCTCTCAGTCGCCCCGAACGTGTGCATGTATCTGTCTCTGTATCCGTATCCGTATCTGTGTTTCTGTGCGTCTGCCGTCGTAGCTGCTGCTGCGGTTTGCTGCGCGATAAGCATACGGATATGTCAGTTAATTATTTGTTTATATTTTGTATCGCCTCGCTCTCCCAAAAACTGTACACACTGGGCGATGTACACCACACATTTCGTCGCCATCGAACTGCCTCTAGATGGAGCTCTATGTAGCCCTATATAGCTTCATGGCATATAAAGTGCTCTATATATACTTGGGCACATCTGTGCCGATCCGATCCGTTCCGTTTCGTATATTTCGCATATGATTTTCTGCTGATTAAGGCGAAAAGCAAACTCACTCTCGCTAGATTGCGCTGGTTTGCGATTGGGTTTTTAAAAGTAAATAAGGTTTTAAAATTATTTTATGCTTGCCAGATTATGCTACTATATATTTGAAAGTATATACAGATTAATATAAGTCTTGGAAATATTTTTTTTTAAGTGAAATCTAGCTTTGAAGTACCTATAAATTTACTATTAAGAAATGTATACCTTATCAGTGCTTATTTTAAAACTATTCCCAGAATTTATATAAATTGTTTGAGGTCGTTTAACGACAGCTAAATAAACTATTTAATAAACAAACTACTAAGTCAGTAAAAGGAAATCACTTTAACTTTGATATTATTACCCCAGGTAAGCAACAAAGTATTAATAAATACTACGTATATAGTGTTTACAGTTTTCTAAATTGTTTAATAAAGCTTTTAATAAACAAAGCCATCACTTTCCAATAAAAACCTGCATTACCAGGAGCCAGAAATGTTTAACTTAATTCGATATCCGTTTCTTTTGGGGGCAGTCAACATGTGCAGCTGCTGTTGCCACCGCAAAGGTGCATGCATCAGCAGTGGCAACATCCGCAGCAACATCCACAACAGCAGCAGCAGCAGCAACATCTACAGAGGCAACAGCAGCAAGTTGTGGCAGCAGCGAAACAGGCGATAAGGAAGAAAGCGCAGGCGAATAAACACAATGCGAAATGTCGAGGAGAAAATCAGGGAGGGGAGGTGTTGGCGGTGCGGAGGGAAAATGGCTGGAAAACCGGTGCAGAAATGGCTACGTCTCCACCTTTCGCGAATGTTGCTGGCTTGCGCGGTGCAGCAGCAACTTGCAACATGGCCATAAATGCAGTCACGCGGCTACACTAGCTGAGCGCCTGCTACAATGCAGCGGCCAAACACCTGGAATGGGGCATCCACCTTCGGGATAGCACCGGCTTCAGCTCCAGCTCCAGAGCTTCATCCCATTCCCAGATCCCCAGTCCCCATTAGCAGTCGGAGAGGATTCCCAGTTCCATCTGCACTCGCAGCATTCCCAGTGTCTCAGGTTGCGATTGCCTGCTTCGAGGGCGGTTCATGGCGGAAGGGATGTTTCTCTCGAGGGTTGGGATCTGGATTTCAACCAAAAAAAATCGAAATAAAAAAAACAATATACAACTGTGGGTGAGGCTCAAACTCGAACCCGAAAAAGCCACCAACAAAAGCTCAGCCAAAGCGGAAACCTGTTTTTTGGCCACAAAGCAAAGTGAGTTGAGTGAGTGAGCAAAGAGTTAACTTGAGCAGCGGCAGCCACAGCCGCAGCAGCAGCAGCAGCAGCATTGACCCCAACTGACTCAACGACAAAATATGCCAGCGGTTGGAGACGGAGGCAGAGAGTGGAGCTGGAGGTGGAGCTGGAGCTGGATATGGAGCTGAAGCCTCGGGAGATCTCTCGTATCCGAATAAATGCAGAACATGGTGCGAAATATTTAATACAAAAATGCTGAAAAGGAGTTTGGCCTGACAAAATAAAGCAACACACACCAGACAAGAGACAGACAGTGAGGCTTCGTTAAGCACAATAATAGGGATATTGAATGTTACAAATATTTTACAGAGCGTATAATAGACGTTATCTAATGACTTTCTTAGGGTATAAATAAACATTTTCGGTATTTAAGCTGTAATTGAGTAATAATAGGAAATTTAAACAGGTTCCCACATTTATTTGTGGCTTTAAAATAGTTTCACCTTTGACTTGGAGAGGAGATAAATATTTATTAATGTTTAGTACCTTACAAGGAATTTCTGAATAGCATTCCCTAAGAAATAAGAAGTCAATAATGCTAGTTATAAGGGGTAAATAGTGAGATTTCGAGTGTTAATTCTTATCAAATGCCAATTTAAGGATTTTTGCTGAGCTACAGGATACTTAATAATATCAGAGTAAGGACATTATTTGTCCTCTTAAAGTTTTGTGGAAAATTCCTAAAAGTATCTCAAAGATACGGCTACTGTAAATACAGAATTTATACTTGTTGTTGCAGCGACAAATCCTGCAGGTTTATATATATAGTAGTCATTGCTCTCTGTCTCCACTCAATTCGCATTAGTCAAGTACACCTGTACCGTACAACTGCAGCAGACGGAGCGAGGTGAGCCCAAGTAAACCTGTTTACAGTTCAAACTTCACATTCGATATTCGATGTGAACTCTTTTTTTTTTTTTTTTGTGTTTGTCGTGTTCGTCTGGCGGGTTCTGGGGCTTCTGGTGCCTTCTTCTCCTTGGCCACATCCCATCCCATCCATCCATCCGAGTAAAGCCACCTACGAAGCCGAAGCTTAGGCCGGGTTATCTCCAGCTTAATTGGGTCATTCACACGCGCCACTTGCCGGCCGATAGAGATGGCGATACAGCGCTGCCAAGAGAGATGGCGATGGCGACGGCGACTGCGAACGCTGACAAAAAACACACATAATACAGAGAAAAAAACACAACTTTTTTCAGCCTAGCAACAACTTCCGGTGTCTTGAAGACGAACTAAAGAAACTAAAGACCAAAGCATACATTACATGTTAGACCACTCGAAGAACGAGGCGAAAAGCGGAGACAGAGACGAAATAGTAGGCAAAACAAACGCCCAGAGAACGAAGGGCGAGGAAAAAACATTAAAAATAAAAAAAATAAATAAAAAAAAAAGACATTTGACGAGCCGGACAAATAAAACTGTTTATCAAGTGAAGAAAAAAGTATTTAAAATGTCTTGGGTATACCATGTATTTAAGTCCAGACTTTTTCCATTGGAATTCCATTGGAATGCATTTTTGGAAATGCATTTGTTAAATGTCGAGAAAGGTGGGGGCAAGTATAGTAGAAAGAATGACATTTTGAGCTTAATTTGTTAATGAATAATATAGGAGAAATACGATAGTTCTTTAAAAAATAAAGCTGTATTTATTTTCCAATTGTTTTCATATTAAAATGAACCCTTAAAATATCCTTTTCAGAACTCGTTGGGAATTACAGCGTTAGAAAGATACAAAGATAGATTTGCTTTTCTATAAACTGTTATTTTGTTAAATAAAATTCTAAAGCTCTAGTTTCTATAATTAATTATTTATTTTGTAATTATTAAATTAAATTATTAAATCTTATGTAATAATAGCTGGCATATTAGCAAGAATTTATTGCTTAAGAAAAATTAATCAAAAACACAATTGTTTGCTTAGAAAGGTAACCACTTTTATTACTTTAACTACCTTGAAAAGTCCCAGCCCGAAATACTTATTGAATTGGTTTTGAAGAGGCAGAAGATTCCAGTATCTTTGAGATTCGTGTGGAAGTGAATGAATCAACGGTAACTCTCAGTCGCTCCTACGCGATTTCTCTCTCGTGTCCTTTCCCTCTCCCTCGCTACCTACAAGGATCAAAATCAAAGGCAAAGGATCGAAGGTGGAAGAAGAGGCAGCAGGAGAGCAGCGAGAATCCCAAAACAAAGTCAACAGACCAAAGACAAAGGCAAATAAATGAAAACACAAAACGAGAGACACGGCCGTAAAAACTCAACCGACAACTTCGGCGAGGAAGCGAGACAGCGGCAGGCACTCCAAGAATGAGTGCGAGAGGGAGAGACAGAGAGAGCATAGAGATCGCAGCATTGTACAATGTACATCCATCATTTTCTAGGCAATGCAAGCAAAAACAAAGAAAAAAACCAAAATACTGAAACTGCAGCGGCTTAGGAAATTATTTGGCAACTCCAAAGCGCCGCGCAAAAACTGGTCTTGATCTATTTTTAAAGCCGAGCTTTGACTCGAGCTTAAACGAGATGAAACAACAACAACAACAAGAACAACGGGGCCCGAAGCATAAAACATCAATCAAACGAAGTTCTACACGCAGCGCGCCTCAAGGTCTTATCAAACAAAACAGAAATGTACATTTTTTGAAAGAAAACCACAAAAACTGGTTTCAAAATGCAAATAGCCACCCACGCCGAGCATATTAATATAATAAAACCACATAATTAGGCGATAAGTTTGTAAAAATGACTTACTTATTTCTTCTCTGCTCCGCGATAATCCAATTTGATTCCGATTTTTGTTTATTTTTATTTAGCACTGATAATTGCTTGACTTTTAATCCGAACAACTGCAACAACAACAAAAAGAAACGGCAGAATTTTATTAGATTGCAAATACAACAAACAAATCAGTGCTCTCTCTGCTGCTCTCTTTCGGCTACGCTAGTGTGTGTGTGAAAATCAAAACAAACGGCAAAAACACTCGAGAGAGCGGCAGAGCTGATCCACTGTGTTCTTGTTGTTGTTGTTGTTGCTGCTTTGCTTTTGTTTTAGTTTTAGTGACTGCAACATGTTGAATGTGTTTACTCTCTCTGGCTCTTGCTCTAACGGTAAACGAGCTAGCGCAGCAATTTATTCGTTGCAAATACAATATAAACAATTTCTTTGGCTGGCGGCAATTTTGTTTCACACACACACACAGGCGCGAGGGCGCACGTTACACGCACACCGTTGCAAGGGACGCGGTTGAGGGTGGCATTTTCATGCTTAAAATAACAATAAATAAGACATACTTTGGACAATTATTAAACACTGTTTACGTTTAGTTATAGGCTTGGGAGTAAAACACCGAAACACAGAATTAAAGAAAACGCCGCCCCGAACTCGGCTTTCTTTGTCACAACTTGTCGCTATTAGTTGCTATTTGTCGTTATTTGTCACTTTTATGCACAAACTAATGCATTTCTGGTTGGTCGCACTTTAGTTACCAAGTTTTTACGAGAGTTTTCGAATTTTCCGAGCGGTTGGCGGCTAAAAACAACACACAATCCGCTCCGCAACCGAGCGCGTCGAGTTTTTTTTACGAACAAACACAAAAACACAAACAAAGGCAGAAAAGAGACGAAAGAGAGAAACAGAGAGAAATAGGGATGTAAAAACATCGATTGCACTATCGATACTATCGATGTTTTTTGGCCGGCTTAAAATAAGTAAAAGTGTTTAAATTAAACCGAAAAATGGAATGATTTTTTTTATAAATTAGCGAAATTCTCATTTGGTGATTGGGCAAAGGGTAATCATTTTGTACTACTTTTGTCTAGAACCAGTAAATTTACTTTTGTGAATGTATGTTTTTCCAAAATATTGGAAATATTTAAACAAACTCGAGCTTTTTAACATTAAAATAATTAAATATGTTAGACGATTGGTCGCAGAAAATAATGAATTAAACTATTAAAATAATTTACCATGTATATATATATAGATATATAACCGATACTATCGATGTTTCGTCCGTAATAACATCAAAAAATCGCTAGTAGAAAGCATCGATTTTTTGCCAGCTCTAGAACAAACACAAACAAAGGCAGAAAAGAGACGAAGAGAGAAACAGAGAGAAGAGATGAAAAGTGCTGCCAGATAACTTTCCCGAAAAAATACCAAAAGATGCAGTTTTCCCCTAAAAAATCCATCAACGATAGATCTGGTCGCTGGGACCGAAAAGTCTGGCAGCACTGGGAGCTGGGGCCAGCGTTGCCAGACTTCCCGTGAACGAAAGTGTATAACAGATATAACACATATCGACAGAGGTTGTAGCATCCGATGTGGTTCGAGTATCAGGTGTGGATTTTTTAGGGGGAGAGTATATCGATACACACAGACTATCGCTGTAAAAAGAATCGATAGATCGTTAAAAATATACCAGATTGATATTACCATTCCTAGTTTTCCATGCCGTTAAAACAAATTTTGTTTTCTGGCAATAAGTTTGTTACCCATCAGAAAACAGCTACTCTGATACAAAGGGCCAGATGAAAATCGAGAAAGTTAGGAGCACCGTGCGCACCCAGCTTATTGCCGCCCACAGCCATGTGAAAGGGCTTGGACTGGAGGCCGGAGCTGCCCAGAAAGGGATCCGCGAGGCAGACGGCATCTTGGAATCAAGATAAAGAAAATGACCGGTATAGCCCTGTTGCTGGTTAATCCGCCGGGTACCGGCATGACCGCCATCACCCAGGAAGTGGGCAACAAGGTGCCCTCCCTGCCCTATGGTGAGTAGAGGTATTCAGCAACGAAACCGAGATGTTGATGGAGAACTTTTTTTTTTGTTGCAGGTGGTAAACTTGTTCTTACAAAGTCCGTTTCCTTGATTTGTGACGCAGATCACAAGGAGACCTGTTTCCCGGTTTTGTGTCTGGTCGGTCCGACAGTCATAATGGGACATCACCCATCTCCGGCGGACCAGAGTCTATTCCAGGCGGTCTGGAGACCCCACTGGGATACGGGATGCGCTCGAGCCAATGATGCCATAAAGGAGAAGCAGCGCTCCGCAAGGAAACAATCTGGCGCGCTTGAAAACGCCTTTTCTACCTAATATCCGCGATGGAGCTCCAAGAGATATAGAAGGGTGTGTGAACTGGAAAATGTACACCGTCCTGCTCCTTCCATTTCGATCTTTTATTGCAGCCTCGTCTTGGGAAGGACTCGCTGGATTCCATTCCCACCAATTGGCTGGACTGCTAGCTGCTAGGGGCTGACAAACGAGCTTCCTGGTAACTGAAAGCTGCGCTGATGTTGGCTGACGCCTGCACTGATGTTGGACAACACCCAGCTGGAGGCTTCGTAGGTGCTTTTCAGGCACCATCACTACCACCACCAGTAAAACCAAGTCGTGGCCAGTGGTTATAATACTAGTACGGCTCTTCTTTTTCTTTTATATTCTGTTTGCATCAAGTGTTTATATTCCTTGCACCTCCCTATATGGGCTCGGTCAATTGCCCAAGTTCGAACTTTGGAACCGTTCTTTTTTTCTGGGCAACGGACGAGCTCAAGCCCAACAACCCTTTCTCTTTATTCTAGCCATTTTAATTTTCATCATTTTTATTTATAATTTAAATTATATAAGATATTTCAAACCCAAAATATAGCTTTTTTTTATTCAATTTATAAATAATGTTTTGGAAAATTTATCAAGAACAATTAATTATAAAATATTTATAATTATGTCTTCCATTCCATTTATTTGACCAAAAATATGGATTCCTAATTATTCAATTGCAAACCGGTTGAAAGGTTCAAAATGTATTTAAAAATTTATTTTTAATGAAATATGAAACTTTGACAAACAAGAAGGCAAGCTATTTGAGCACACCTATCCAAAAGCATGCAAATTTAGTCAAAGAAAAACCTTTAAATGATTCCCTTGCCTCCAAATCAGTGCTATTCCTATAAAACTAATGTCAAAATAAAAACTTTAAATTGTAAACAAGATATACAAAAAAATAAAAAAAAAGATTTGTAGATTGTAGTCTGGAGTTCCTAGAAGCCATGACAATGCACGATCGATATAGAAACAGGACACAGTACTAGACTTCTTTTAGCTAAACGCAATTCCTGCAGCGTTCGGTGCGTGGGAAGGGCAAACTGGTTTGCCAAGAGTAGAAAACTAATAAATTATGTGTGTGTGGTCACAAAGAGCTGCACAGGCAGGACAATGGAAACAATTATAGATTGTGAGGAAAAATGTTATGTTACTTGGAAAATGCGCAAAAATGCCGAGAAGGGTTCAAAAGTGCTGGCCAAAGGATTGGGTATCCTGATGTCTGTTGTGTAATTTACGGGCTCTCAGGATTTTTGGGCTGACCATTACTAAACAGCTGCATTTGACCTCCCAGTAAGGATGAGCCCCGCATGACTTTGTCTGCACAGAAACTGGGTATCTCTACTTGTAATGATTTTGTAAAAACAACTTTAGTTTTTAAAATTTAATAATTGTTCTTAATATTTATCAAATCTAATAGAAAATAGTTTGTTTAAATATATTCTCTTATGTTTTCCCCTAAGGTTTTGGTTCGTTAATGTGTACACCTACGTATGTGCTCTGCCAGCTGACAGGAAGTATAATGACAAATTAACTCGAGGTTGAGTTCTAGCAGCGAGGTGGGGCATTGCTCACACTTTAGAGTTTTATTTTTATAGTTGTTGAACACTTCTTAATGCATTTTTAGAGGAGACGCAACAAAAAATGTTGAAAGGGGAGCGTTAACGTCGAGTTGGGAGCAGATGTGAGAAAAAAACTTTCTATTTGGGCATTTTCAAGTGCGTGTGAAATGTCCTTTTTTAAGAATATGTTTTCGCTTAGGCCTGGGGCATATAGGACACACATGTTCTGTGTGTGTGTGTGCGTGTGTGTGCTTATTTACTATAACCGAATTTGAGGACTAGGTCCTTTTTCCGTTACCATTTTTAAGCTTCGTATTCGAGTTTTTTGCTGGACATTCTTTGCCATTGACAGCCTTCATTTTATCCTCCAGCAGGATCGTCGCTAGGATACCCTTTATGCTTCTTTGGAGACGTCCTCCTGTTATTTGATGCCTTGTTAACTTTCATCTGCGGTAGTAGTGAGATTGGGGGGCAAGAATTTCACTTGTTTTAGCTTGTTTTTTTTTCAGAGAATGGCCTTTCCTGCTATAACAAGGCGGCCGTTGGCACTGCTCGTTTTTTCTTTCTTTTAATGAAATGTGAAGTACGCCTTCGTTTTACAATTTTTCTTCTTCATTTAAGTTTTTTTGTAGGCTTTTTTGGTACTATTTTTTCGTTGGTTATTCCTTGGATGGCGATAAGACCAGTGCGTGGTATTTGCTTTCATGTAACATGGAGTTTATTAGCTTTGAAAAGGTGGGTTGGGGGGGCATTGGGATGATGTGTTCCTGGGTATTCTTTTTAGGGCTTTGGGTTACCTGGGTAGCCAATACCTTTTGACAATAAAACAATTATCGAAGGGGCATTGCGTTTGAAGAAAAATATATGCGTAAGTAATAGAAACTGTGCAAAATTTCATTTAAGATATAATAACTTTTGGAGAGGGGTTGCTTTTGAATACTAGTTTTTGTTGGAATGCAACGTTTTTGGTTTAAGTTTTCATTGGAACGCAGAATTGTTGGTTTATTGACACAAAACTTATTGTTTATAAACTTTAATAATAGGAACTTTTTAATTTTTATATTCTATTAAGAGTAAATCAAATTGTTTTGAAAAGGAGGTTATATTTAAATATTTAAAATTTATTATAAATATTTATAAATATCGAAAAGTAAAGTCTGGTTTATTGTTTGTTTATTCATAAGATGCACTTTGAAATTGTTGAGCAAGCACCAGCTGTTTTTAAGGACTATGCTTTATTACAAAAGCTCCTAAATTGTGTAAAAGAGTTCCCGCTGTGCACAAAACTATTTTTTTTATTATTTGGTATTTATTTTCCCTTATTCTTATTGGTAAACATCAAGCGTTTTTGTATTACCCAAACTATATAAATAAACTTTTAAACCCCAGCAGGGTATTATATTTTAACCACAAGCTTGAAAGGAAGTAAGGAAGTTTTAATTGCCATCAGAACTTGAAATTATTCAACAAAAAAATGTGTATTAAATTCTCCATTGTAACTACAATGCCCAGGACTAGATGTGAGTACGACGACTTTGTCACACTCTTGAAGGCGTGCCTTTGTCGCAGCTCATAAAAAACAATAACTAGTAGACTCTGCTTTGTGTGTGTGTGTGGGTTTGAATAAAAAATTTATGCCTTAGCCCGGTTGGGTGACAGGAGACAGGACATAGACATGTGTCCTTTATAACAACTGACAGTAGCATACATACCATACATACATATAGTTGGAGGATAAAAAGTATCTGCATTTTATGCCTAGCTTAAGTTGCCTAACAAATTTTCATGAGCCCACGCCGCGTCGCACTTCCCCCTCCGTAGAGACTAAGAACATTCAAAATTATTGGCAAGATTTTTGTTTTTGGTTGGGATTTAACACGTCTTAGGTGCTTTTTATATACAAATTGAATGGGTAAGCTTTAGAACATTGTCGTATAATTGTCAATTTACCGGATTTACTTTTATGCTAAGGAAATGGCAACGTTGGCTTACTGAGGTATAAACCTTGGCTGGTATATAAATTTCTTGTGGTAAGATCCGTACAAATTTCATTTGGTTGTCCAGATTTAGACAATCCTCTTAACCCATACGTCGATATCGTTCTTGGAAGAGAAATAGTCCAGTTTACCAGGTTCCAATTTCAAAGACAAAGATGCGGCAACATTTGCATTTCTTTTGTTTAAGGTTAAAGTGGTACCTAGGGTGGGTATACATTAGGTAAGCTATTGACAAACTTTACAATGTCTCGATGTAAGATGATCCAAAAGGATTATCTTGGTTACCTTACAAGGACCTGATCGGCACGAGGCGTGTGCTATTTCTAGGCTAATCTACAATCTACAAGTTTACCTGGCAAATCAAAAGGCGTTTTAAAATGTTTGTTTGAAAATAGAATACAAATCATGAAAAAAAAGAGTAGTTAGCACTTTTAAGGGAAAAGTCTAAATATTTAAAAAAATAAACTTAGTGAAAGTTATTTTAATAACTTGACTATGGGTTTCTAACCTGCTTAACCAAGTAGGGAAAACAATGGTAAAATATCCTTTCCTTTGTGTAAGCCAGCTGATCAAATTGCCAACAACAAGCGTGAAAATGCCAATAAATCAAAGTACATACATGAAAAGGATAACCAGATCAAAGAATAAAGAGCAACAACATTCCAAAGAAATGAGTCGAAGCATTCAAAATCAAGAAACTATAAATCTTTTTAAAACAATCCTACAAGAAACGCACTTCAGGATCACAGACCCAATAAAATCTAAGGAAAAGGATTTCGAACATGGGAGGAAAACAAAAGGCAGAACGAAATAATAGATAGGAAAAGGGGAACGTGTGGGACTTTTTGCCCTATAATGTTTTTTACATTTTTTAAATTATTTTTCTTATAAAGTTGAAGGTCTAACCAAGTGTCATACATAAATTGAATGCATTTATGTATATAAAATTATATGCAGAATACATTTTCCTAATTAAAAACATCGTTTTATTCAAGATTTTGAGGTTTAACCATAATCCCAAAAACCCAGACACCTTCTTATATGTATATTTCTCCACTCTATTCTGCATATGCCACCCAGGCACAGCTGTCCTTCAATTCCTTTGCAATTTTGGTGCAATCAATCCTTGAATACCTTTGCAGACCCCGTATTCCTAATCAAAGATTTAGCATTGTCTTGCGTTCAAGGTGTGTAGGCAAGGGATTATGCATAATGGTGTACTTTTCCTTCCTCGGCTACTGTACATCTGTTCAGAAAGAGCTCTGTAATACCAATTCAAGAAAGAATGCTTCGTTTTTGAATACAGAAGAGGAGAGGTTTCTGTTGTCAAGTGTCCAGCACACATTTTGTGGTGACATTTGACTAGATTTAAGGATGCGATTAAACGCAAACGAAATGTAGACAAATCGGTCGCTAGATTAATAGTAAGACTGATCTGTTAGAAGACCATATGCTAAGTCGAGTTTGTTAAGCAGAGGCAGTAGAAAAATGTGTAAAAATAAAAACATTACAAAATATAATCAAATTCTTTTTGTAATCCAATATGTTTTGTCCTTTCAGGTATAGCATATTTATGATTTTTAAGCGTTTTTATACCATTGCGGGGTATTATAATTTCAGTCAGAAGTTTGCAACGCAGTGAAGGAGACGTTTCCGACCCTATAAAGTATATATATTCTTGATCAGCATCAACAGGGGAATCTTTCTAGGTATGTCAGGAAGAAATCGATTTTTTGGCCATTTTTGCAAAATTTTATAAGGGGTTACATCATTAAAATTTTTGATTTTGATAAAAAATTGAATTTTCAAAATTTTTAAATGAAGTATGCAGATTTATTAACTGTAGAAAATCTTGCACAAAACAGTTTTCCGATTTAAAATTAATGCTCTTTTGGCCGAGTTATGATATTTTTAATTTTAGAAAAAATCAATAAGTTTTTTAATATAAAAAATCCGATTTTATAATACAAAATAATATTTTTCTAAGTCAAGGAATCATTTCCGACCCCATAAACCATATATATTCTTGATCAGCATTAACATGCGAATCTTTCTAGACATGTCCGGAAGAAATCGATTTTTGGGCCATTTTTGCGAAATTTGATAAGGGGTTACATCATTAAAATTAGCAAAAATGGCCAAAAATTTTGATTTCTTAAAATTTTAAATTTGGTATGCAGTTTGCTTTCCGAATCGAAATTAATGCATTTTTGGCTTAGTTATGATATATTTTAATTGTTACCTGCAAGGGCATACAAACTTTGGCTGGCCAAAGTTAGCTTTCTTTCTTGATTTTTATTTCTATTCGTTAAATCCGATATAAGTTCTGAAGTCCAAATTTTAACAATATAAAGGTATATTATTTTAAGGTAAAAATCATTAGTACATCTTGCCATAAACAACATCACAACAAAGAGTAAACGCGTCATA